AAGTTTCTGCGGAAAAATTACTAACTCGGCAACTAAAAAAGGCAGAAGGTTGAAATTTTAGGGGGGGATGTTCCCTCTCCAATTACATCTTAAGTATTTCAAATTCAGCCTTCAGGTACGTGTGGTTCTTAAGTACGGGCAATTAAAATTTTGACTGAATATCTGGCTGAGCAATTAGATTACTTTTAAAGAGTGATCGTTAAATGGAAATTGTACATCTACTTTATGCAAAATTAATGGTGATTTATGCAAGTAATCGCAAAAGATAGGTGTAAAGCAACAACCATTCATGCAGTTAATGACCTGAGTACTTCAAGTCCTGTGCAAAAACGCATGATCGCACTGGCCTGCCCGGTGCGTTCCAGCCTGGGTTCAATTTTAGACCTGCAAAAGCTATAAAGCAGAAACGTCGACTACTTAATCCATATCTTCATTGATCCCCAGGCGTAAAATGAACGTTAATTTCCTTCTGGCTCTCACGTACCAAAGCGTGAAATATTTTTTGGAGGAAAAGCGATTTTGGGAATAAAAGACTTGAAACTTAGAGAGATGCTCTCTGTCTACGTGTTACCCATCGAGTTCAAATTCAGCCTCATGCAACCCTAGGTCTCACTTACCTACAAGTTAAAGTTCAAACTGGCATCATGTCAGCTCAAGAATTTGACGGCGTAGTAAGCTGCAGAGAGCTGTTGTGAGAGAATTTTATGATGTTATTTTCTGTCCATTGATGTGCTCATGAAACTAAACTGAGCTTTCACGTTCTTTTGCATCTTTTGTGCTGAAATATGAGATTTTGACGCAGACCACTTATTAGCCTCGGAACTAAAACAGCCTGAGGCCTAAAATTTCCTGAGCACGGCTGACGGACCTGCTTAGGCAAGTGAAAGTGCAAATAAGTTTCACGTTCCTATTATGTCTCATGTGCATCCCAAGCGTAAACACGCAAAATTTGATCTAATTCCGGAGCCAAAGCAGCTAGAGTGCTGAATTTTTCTGAGCATGGCCCACTGTCGTGTTTACTGGGAATCGCTGCGATAATTTTTTATAACTTGTTGTCCATTCTCAATTCGTTCAGCAGCAACTACCTTCCATAAAACTTTTCATCTTATAATTTAAGAATCAGTATCCCAAATAATGTAGAAAACAAATACACGCACTGTCAAGATTGATGTAGTGGCAAGTGCCTTGCATTTGTGTAAAATGCAGGAACACACAAAAAATGGGAAATCTTTTCATCCGAGGGAAAGACCGTCCTTAACCGCAGAAATAGAACTAGAGAGGGATGGGATGGAGGTCTGCTTCAGCGACTGAAAAAGGCCTTGCCCCAAAACGCACAAAAAAATGAGTGTTATCTGGAAAGGAAGTCTACTGTTGTTCATAAAAGGGAGCTTACTGTTGTTCATACCAGCTATAAGCATTACAAGTGAAATTTATATAATAATGCGCTCTAGGTTTTTTGGTACAGACACATGTTTTTGTGCTAATCTTGAAAGAATCAGTTTGTTGAAGCATAAATGCGCGTTCATTTTGGCAACGATCTCGGTCTGTTCGTGTATGTGGAGGAAGTGACGTTAGCTGGGATGGTAGGATGGCGTTGTAGGGCCGCGTGAAATCTCAGCCTCCAGCAGTGTTTTGAAGGGAAATTGTCGACGATTTTGCATATTCATTTTCAATTCATCCGTACGTGAGACGTAGGCATTTGTGAAAATCGATTTTACATTTTGAATGTGCGAAATTTCAAAGTAATGTTTTATTCACCTTGATAAATCTCCTGAGTTTCAATTTGGAAATAGTCAGA